TTATGAGGACATGACCAACATAATACAATTTTTAGGTAACTATTTTCCTTCTTTCTCTTTTCTCCTATTTTATGTAAGAATTATTGGTGGTTGTTTGCGGCTTCCCTTTTCTCATTATCTGTCTGCCATTTCCTTTTCTTTGCAACAAGGGCTTGCTATCATAGAACAAGCTTTCTTAGAACTTATGGTCTTCTGTTTCCTCTTCCCAGTGCTAGGATTACAGGTAAATAGCACCACAACGGACTTTTTTGTGTGTGGCTAGTTTAACAAAAGATCTGCCAGTTTTGCTGGTGGTTGTTAATTTAGTTGTTAATGTAGTTTTCAAAATAGGTAGGATTGTGACTGAACTGTAAGTGGAGTTAATATCTCTTAGATATGGGGTATGGCAATGGATGTGGCTTACTTTATACCTTCTCTTTTTGAAGAGATTATGAAGGTACCTTCATTTTATCTTGAATATTTGCATCTTCCTAAGCAGATGCATGATGTGGAAGTTCAGACATGTCAGAATGGCTAAAATAGTTTTTCCATCTAAAGGGTGGAGACAGATGGGAGACTGACCCAAGAAAGAACAGTTAGTTGTGTCATACTTCTGGGTTTCTCTGCAGGCAGGGCAGTTTTTAGCAACTGTAGCACCGGGGCATGCCCTATGCTCATGGAGCTCTGACTTTGTCAGGGAAGTGACAGTGGTAGATGACATAGGTGACTGCACTCTTAGTTTCAGTATCAGGGTGAATGAGGATCCTCAGTGCAAAACAGAAGCAGTTCCAACATCAGGAGTTTATCCAGCAGCCTCAATGGCACAGGGATGATGGGTCCTAAGGATCTCCAAGCACTTTTTGCTCCTCTAGACTGGATGAAATGTTTCATTTTAGCTTCTTCAGCCTTTCTGACACTTAAATAATTTATGCTAATACCGGGATTTGAACTTAGGGCCTTAGCACTGTACCTTAGTTTTTTTTTGTTGTTGTTATTTGTTTTGGTGCTGTCCTGAGGCTTGAACTCAGGGTCTGAGAGCTATCCCTAAGCTTTAAGCTCAAGGCACTCTACCATTTGGGTCACAGTGCCACTGCTGGATTTTTTTTTTTTCTGAGGATATATTGGAGATAAGAGTCACACAGACTTCTCTGCCCAGACTGGCTTTGAACCATGACCCTCAGATCTTAGCCTCCTGAGTAGCTAGAATTACAAGTGTGAACCACCAGTGCCTGGCTTGTACCTTAGCTTCTTTGCTCAAGGCTGGTATTTTACCACTTAAACCATGGTTCTACACTTGGCTTTCTGGTGGTTAACTGGAGATGAGTCTGACTTCCCTGCCCAGCCTAGGTTTGAACCATGATTTTCAGATCTAAACCCTCTGGGTAGCTAGGATTATAGGTATGAGCTATTGTTGCCTGGCTCCTTATCACATTTTTACAAGTAATTTGCTATGTTCAATTTCTTTCATGGGAATAAGTATTTTCTGTTTTCCTACGTGGACACTAACTGATATACCATTCTTCTTGGACATGTCTCAGCTTGGACACTACATTTCTCTTTCCTTTCAACTACAAGTGGTTGAATTCTAGAAGACAGAAAAGAACTGGGTGATGTAGAACAATTTGCATGTTGAGAATGGCCTTTCTATTCTCCTTTCCTTCCTTCAGCTACACGTAGTCAGTCTTAGTGGATGTCTGAATAGCAGCATGAGCCCCTGAATTACCATATGGTGGGAAGCATTAGGCTATCATATGACTGGGAAATAAAACTCAATCTGAGTTCATATTTTTTGTTTCCTTGTACGTTGGATGTCTGTTTGTTACAGAAGATAATGTTATCCTAATAAAGTTATTGTCCAAATATCACACCTAACAGCAGTTAGAAATTCATAGTAGAATAACATGTGAACAAAACAACTACTTTAAGTTCTGGGGCAAGGGTTTGTCTTTTAAGTAGTGAGTGACCTTAAATATCTCTTAGCAAATGGGCAGATAAGTAAGCATATGTGTAAAAATGACTGTGTTCTAAAAAATAACAGACACATTTATGACCCTGTGGTCTCCAGAATTGGGTGTAACCACTTTGGAGCATACCAACTTAAACATTTCTAGATACAGAAATGTTACTTTGACAGAAGAAATATAAAAATTTTTCTGTAAGTCTTTTTAATGCTAGTACTGGGGCTTGAACTCTAGGCCTTTCACTCACTCTCACTCAGCTTTTTTGCTCATGGGTGGTGCTTTATAATTTGAGCCACACCTCCACTTCCACCTTTTATTTTTGCAGGACATTCCAGATTTCAGTCTCTTGAGTAGCTAGGAGTACAAGTGTAAATCACTGGCAACCTAATAAAATTTTTTTGTTGTTGTTCTGAAAAGACGTATGACTGAAAACATTTGGAGATCCTTGGGAAATGAAAGCATTGTAACAATCTAAGCAACGCAATTATGTTAGAAATCCACAACACATTTAATGAGGAAATCGATGGTTAAAAGCATGTTCATATATGAAAAAAATATGCCCTGTATTTCTTTCAGCAGGTTGTAACTTAGTTCCTTTGCATTCTTAGACAAGTTATTTAACCAGTATCAGCTTCACTTTAATCATTTCAAATATAAGGATTGGGCTAATATGGAGTTTTTATTCTTTTTTTTTTTTTTTTTGGGGTCCGGTTGTGGGGCCTGAACTCTGGGCATGGGCGCTGTACCTCAGCTCTTCAGCTCAAGGCTAGCGCTCTACCACTTGAGCCACAGCGCCACTTCCGGCTTTTTTCTTTTTGCTTATGTGGTGCTGAGGAATCGAACCCAGGGCCTCATGCATGCAAGGCAAGCGCTCTACCACTGAGCCACCTTCCCAGCCCACTGAAGTTTTTATTCTTGTGCTCAAAGTTATTTCAGAGGTTTTGATGATTCCTATAGATTCTTGCAGTGGCAGGTGGAAGCATAGACTGCAAGTTGCCTCCAGTTTGATGTGCAGGGAGGCAACAAAGACATAAAAGGACAACAACAAAAAGAAAAGTTCTAGCCCAGATCATCTCATTCCACTCTACCCCGACTTGTTGAAACAGGGTCTGGTTATATAGCCCAGGCTGGCCCTGAACTCCTGATTTTCTTATCTCAGTTCCCCAAGTGCTAGGATTGCAAGCTTGCACCACCCAGCCTGGCTTCTAAATCACCTCTTAAGAGCCCTTCCCAGTTTAAGGCATTACAACTATTCATTTAAGGGAAAATGCTAGTATTAAAAAATCTCTGGTACTAGCTGGATGTGCCTGTAACCCAGGGAGACTGTGGCAGAAGGATTTTGAATTTGAGGCCAGTCTGGACTACATAAACTCTGTTCCAGCAACAATAACCAAACAACAAGAATCTTGTAGGAAAAATAAAAGAGCTAGGTGTAGCTCAAAGGTACAGCATGTACTTAGCATTTGCAAAGTCTTGAATTCAATCCCTTGCACATCTCCTCATCAAAATTTATTTAAATATTAGACTATGTCATAATAATCATAAAACTCCTAGGTGAATCAAACAAAAAACATGTGGAAGGCTGTTGATATATTTGATGTAAAATGCAAGTTAAGGATCTGACATCTCAGATGGCTTTCCTGGAATTAATTTAGCTTAAAAAGTCAACACTATAACTCAACAGGGCCCCTTTTCAATACTAAAATTAAAAAATAAAACAACCAATTGAGTAATTCATGAAATCAATTTATTGGGATAAAAAGGAAACCAGAAAGGATTTTGAAAACAGAGAAATAGTAGAGCAGAAATATTTAACTGCCTTTAATTGCTTAGATACAGTTGGGTAGGTTTGGCCATAAACATTTAAGATATTTCAGGTGAAAGTATTTTGAAAAATAAACGAGACTGGCTGCGTTATCCTGAGGGGGAAAATTTAAACTCTAGACTTTAAAATTATCCGGATTTGGCATTTGGCTCTCAATAATTGTTATTTTCTTGTTATCTTCATAAAAAACTAAGGGCACTTCACTTATCTCACTACATGATAATTCACTTGATCCATTTTACACCTGTTGTCTTTTTCCTCCCGCTACTTTATTATTCATTCATTGTCTCCTCCCTGGGTTCTGGGGGAAAGCGATAGTATCAACAATCAGTCCTGCTTGGGCTGTGGAAATAATGGCTTAAAAAAGTCATTTCTGCAGGGTGGGAGTGGCTCACACCTGTAATCCTACTCAGGAGGCTGAGATCTGAGGATCATGGTTCAAAGACTGCTGGAGCAGGAAAGTCCATGAGACGCTTATGTTCAATTAACCATCAAAAAACCTGGAAATGGAGCTATGGTGCAAGTTGGAGAACGCTATCCTTACGCACAAAAGCCCAGGGACATTGATCTGGTCCTAGGGTTCAAGCCCCAGGATCTCTCCCCACCCCCTCTCTCACACATCATTCTTCTAAGGCCATCTGAGTAATAACTATCAGAACCCACTTTGGGTCTTCTTATTTTCCTTTCCAGGTGTATTTGGCTATTAGGGGCTAACTGACGCCCTGGGAAGGGGCAGTTACGGAACAAGCAAGGTTTGGAGTCTACTTACTACCTTGGCTTTCCAAGGCAAGCGACACACACCTTTCAAAGGCCTCCACAGTAGTATACATTCAGACCACTCATCTAAAAAGCATATCACCAATCACCCTCTCTGCTTTGCAGCTTTTAACCTGCAGAGAATACGGGTAGCTCTTAATCTGTGCTGCAGTCTATCCTATCCATCCCCCGTTAAAAAGGAAGGCGAAATATGAAATCCTAAATCCTGACACCGCACACCTAGGAACGCTCCTAAAAGATGGGTCTCGCAGCTGCGGCCTCAGCAAGCGTTCGGTCCTTACTTCCTCTAGCCCCGCCTCCAGGATGGCCCCTTCGCTTCCCTCACAGCCAATGGGAAGCTCCGCATCCACCGAGAGACAACTCTAGGGCTCCACCCCTAAAACGCTCCACACCGAGGTTGGGCTTTCCACCACTTTTACTGGGACCTTGCGCATGCGCATTCTCCTTGGGCCCGGGGAAGACGCTTAGGGATCGGTTTTCTTCTTTCTTTCCCGGATCGCGCTCCTCTCCCGAACGCTCCCACCCTACTAGCACTGCTGGCGATCCCTCCTGGGCAGTCACTCCGAGAAGGGGCTGCTCCGGCCTTGGGGTGCGGCCGTACCCGGATGTGGAGTCGCTCTCGCCCGGCGGGGGCTCTGTGGCGGGGCGGAGCGCGGAGGCGTGCGCGGGGCCAGAGAGAAGGGGGCCCCTGGGCCCGGGCGCTCGCCGGACGCCGGGAGGTACCAGCGCTGCCCGCCGGGGAGGAGGCGCCAGCGCTCGGCCTCCTACCCCGGGGCGAGGGACCGGGGGCGGGCGAAGGCCGGTCGTTCGGCTGGCCCGCCGCGGCCCTCGCCAGGCCCCCCGGGCGAGCCTCCCCCGGCCCTCTGCGTTCCCCGCGCTCCCGGCCGGGGGAGAGCGAGGTTTCCTGGCGGCCCTCGCTGTAGCCCGGCCGGGGAGCCCGGAGGAAGCGGGACAGTCCCCGCCCCCGGCCCCCTCCGCTCTGCCCGCTCGCCGCCGCCTCCGCCTCCGCCTCTGAGCCTCTGCGGGCCGGCTTCCCGTCCGAGCCGGGGGCGCGGCGGCGACGGCCCGGCCGCGGCGGGGGGCTCCGTGGAGCCCGGGCCGCCGCCCCCGTGAGTTACTCCCACGTCCCCCGGGGCTCGCTGCCGCCCCCGCCGGCGCCGAGAGTCCGGCCCGGGCCCAACTCCCTCACGGGCCCTCCGGCAGCGGCGGCGGCGGCGGCGGCAGCGGCGGAGCCCACCGCCCGGGCCCCGATGAGTAACTCCCGCAACAACCGCGTGATGGTGGAAGGGGTCGGGGCCCGCGTAGTGCGTGGCCCGGACTGGAAGTGGGGGAAGCAGGACGGTGGCGAAGGCCATGTGGGCACCGTGCGGAGCTTCGAGAGTCCCGAGGAGGTGGTGGTGGTGTGGGACAACGGCACCGCCGCCAACTACCGCTGCTCCGGGGCTTACGACCTGCGCATCCTGGACAGCGCGCCCACCGGTGAGTGCGTCCGCCCGGCCGGGGCCTGCGCGCGCGCGCGCGGGAGGACGGGGCCCGGGGAGACGCCCGCGCCGCGCCGCGCCCTCCGCAGCGCCAGGCCGGTTCGAACCCGAAGGGCAAGGTTCAAAACCCGAGAAACAAACTTGTAGCCAAGAGCCCCTGTTCTCAAGGGAAATGGTGGCAGCTCCGTCACCGAGATGCTTTCAAGCCTGCAGGACGGACACAAAGCACCGAGGCGGCAACCGTGCCCTCCTCCTCCTCCTCCTCCTCCTCCCTTGGGGACGGGGTCTGGGGAGGCCTGTCAACTAAGCCATTGGAATTACTCAGCCACCAAGGGATAGCTGAGAGGAGGTTCGCCTTGCCAGATGGTGCTTGGCTGTCAAAGGGCCGTTGATGCCTTAGATTTGTTGAGGTAGCTTTTTTTCCTTGCTGCTTAGAATTCAGAGGCCCATTTGGTGCCCTGTGAAAGCCTTTATTCACCTGCATCGTTTAACTTTACGTCTGGGTATTAGTAAAGGGAAAGATACTTTTTGCAAGTGGAAGATGGGCACTGGAGGCACCTAAGATATTTTTTTTCCCTCTGATTAGCATCCCATCTGAGTCAATTGATGTTAGAATGCTACCCATTCATTCAGGGACTTGATGTACTGCACTTAAATGGATGTTTGTTGTTTACTCTTCTGTTGTGTTATGTACATATACATGTATATGTATGTATGTATGTATGTTTGTACACACACTTTGGTGGTACTAGGGTTTGAACTCAGGCCTCTAGTTTGCCAGGCAGGTATTCTATTACCTGAGCCACACCTCTAGGAATGATTTATGCCAGTTAATTTTGAAGTTGAAGTCTATAGAACTTTTCTGCCCAGGCTGGTCTAGAACCAGGATCCTTAGATCTTTACCTCCTCCCCCTCCCCCTTTCTTCCTTTCCCCTCCCCTCTCCTCCCCTTCATCTCCTCTTGCCGGTCCTGGGTTTTGAACTCTGGTGTTGCCTAGGTGTTCTCCTTGATCCTCTTTTGCTCAAGGCAAGTGCTCTACCACTTGAGCCACAGCACCACTACTTTGTTTTTTGAGTAGTTTATTCAATATAAGAGTCTCACAGACTTTCCTGTTCTGTCTGGCTTTGAACCTCAGATCTCAGCCTCCTGAGTAGCTAGGATGATAGGCTTGAGCCCCTGGCACCCAGATGACGACTGATACTACTTTTTAAAATGTACATTGAAAGATTGCATTCACAAAATATATTGTTTATTTTAATCTCATTTGTTTTCACAAGAAGTTTATTCTTAAGAATCGTATTTCGTAAAGACAAAGCTTATACTTAAAGTTGAATGCTTTTCAGAATTTGTATGTGAGCTACTTCTATGACATGTGGGTGAGTTTGACAAAGCCCAACAAATCTTAAATGGAGTAGAGTTATTGCTAACATCAGTAAAAAAAAAATCAACATGAGCCAGTTTAGCTTTTGAACAGGTAATTTAGAAATTTGTGTTTCCTACCTAGCTTTTATATTCTGAAAAGGATGGATGGGCATGATCCAAATAAAAGTACAAGGTTGTGCAGTCATTGTTATGAAGTTCTTGTGTATTCTTTTACTTCACTGAATATTGCAAGCCCACATGTGAAGATATAGAAAATTCATATTGGTGACTGTTGTGTGTAGGTTTATCTTACTGTTTGAGGACCGTATAATATTCCAGTGACTAGGTGCAAAAATTTGTTTAAGCAGTACTTCATTGATGTATATTTATATTTCAGGTCTTATTTAAAATGATCTAGTAAATAAATCCCTGTATATATATACTTGTGTGTATGTGCTGAATAGTTCTGTAGTAGTGGAATTGCTGCAGCAAACATGAACATTTTTAACATTTTGGTAGTATTGAGTAATTGCTCTCTGAAGACATTTTACCAGTTTACACTTGCAGCAACAGTTAATGATGCATATGGCTCTTTCTGCATACTTTTAGGTTTTGGTGTCATGCTAGTACAGGCTAAAGTCTGACCACAGCTCAATAATTTGGAGGAATTCTTGGGATCAGTAATTGTAGGTTAAAGGAGGAAATTAAACTGTCTTTCTAGGGCAGAGATTGATGTTGAATTACAGTGATTAAACAAACATCTATAAAAATACACAAAATCTTTCTAGCTTTAAAAATATACAGTAAATTACTATTATTGATAGTTATTTTTCTGCTTTAATAGAACATCAGAGCTTATTTCTCTTCTATGGTGATTTTTGAAGGGATAGTAATGTTGTCTTTGTTGTATGGAGTGTGTCAGTCATATTAGCAATTTATTTTAGTATAAAAGTATCCACTGTTCAGAAGTAATTTTTTGAGTCTTAGTTTAATTCCTAAGATAACTGAACATATTTATGTAAAGCAGTCCATTTGAAGTTTTGTTTTGGCGCTGGGGATTGAACTCAGAGCCTTACACATGCCCTGCCATTATGCTGCATCCTAGCCATAGCAAATATTTTTATTTATTTATTTATTTACTTATTTTTGTTCGGTTGTGGGACCTGAACTCTGGGCCTGGGCACTGTCCCTGAGCTCTTCAGCTCAAGGCTAGCACTCTACCACTTGAGCCATAGCACCACTTCCGGCTTTTTCTGCTTATGTGGTGCTGAGGAATCGAACCCAGGGCCTCATGCATGCAAGGCAAGCACTCTACCACTGAGCCACCTTCCCAGCCCATAGCAAATACTTTAAAAGAACATCTGCATACAGGATAGGTAGACCATGTAAAATGCATGTTTTATTTTCCATGGTTTAATTTTCAACTTTTTAAAAAATGTCAAACTTATTTTAAAAATAAGATCAAATTCTTGGTTCTGGTTTTATCTCCAGGGCTGTAATACTATTTGGAATATGTAAGAGAAGTCATTTTGTTAATTTCGTGTTTACAAAACATTGCAAAACTAGTAAGAATTTTGTCATTTAGTTATTCAGATGTTAGTATCTTAATTAAATTGTCAAAACTAGAAAATTAGTACTAAGACAACTACTAATGTATCTATATATCCTATTGAAATTTACCAGTTGCCCCACTCATGTTCTTTTTCTATTGGAAGATTGCACATTGCATTTAGTAGCCTACTCTAGTTGGGCCAGATCCTTGATTTTTGTCTTTCATGACCTAGATACTAATAATTGTGTAGACTATCCCTGAAATTGAGTTTGTCTCATTCTGCCTCATGATTTAATTCAGATTATGTATTTTGAGTAACATTGCCATAGAAATGTTGTTTTGTCTTTCTAGAATATTAGGAGGTACACAATATCCATTTGTCTCATTAATGAGAGCATTTTAAAACTCATCTAAGTCACTAGCAATTTCACCTCCCACTGCCTTTGCATTACCAATGCAATGCCTACTTGAAAGAGGTGAATAATATTACCATGTCAGGATCACATACATCTTGTGTGTTTACTGAGGCGTTTCAACACTCAAACTGAATGTTATTGCCCTAGAGAGAATTTTTCATTGATCACAAAGAGGTTTGTATAAGAAAGATTATACAAGTGTTGTATGTAAAAGCAAAAATTTAGAAAAACAATGTGTATAAACAGATGAATGAATAGATGGAAGTCTGTGTCTTTGTGTGGTAGAAGGCTAGTAGTACAGGAAAGTTAATGTTAAACAAATAAAGTTGTAGAAGAAAACCTATGGTATGTTGAGGCTAGGCATCTGTAGCTCAGTGGTAGAGCATTTGCTGATATGTGCAAAGCCCTGGGTTTGATTGCCAGCACTGAAAAGAAAATGTTGTTAAAGTGCAGAACAATATTATTTATCTTTCAGAATAGTTCTCTCCCCCTCCCCCAGTTTATTTTGGAGATCTAGACTCTCAGGACTTGCCTTCCTTGAGTTAGCTTCAAACTTTGGTCCTCTGGATTTCAGCCTCTTTAATAGCTAGGATTATAGGTATGAATGTGGTTAGAGTACAGTTTGTTTAGATTAGGGTTTTTAAAGTCTTAGCACTATTGATGTTTTTGAACTGGGTAGGTAGTTCTTTGTTGTAGCTCTGTACAGGGCATTTTAGAACAGTATGTTGGGCCCCTCTCCATTAGATGCTGTAGCATCCAACATCCTTATAATAATTCACAGTATCTCCAGATGCTGCCAAAAGTCTCCTGGGTGGGAGGCAAAATGACTAAGGCTCATTGTTTTAGGATTATGTATATGTATAGTAAAGGATTAAAAAAATGTAGTGATAAACCAAATTTAAGAGATTGGATATCTGAAAGGAGCAGAGTATGATTGGTGGAAGTATAACAGGAAATTTAACTATTTTGGTAGTGGGTGCATTAGATATTTGTTGGATTTTTATATTTTAAGTGCATTAGGTATTTGTTGGATTTTTATATTTAATTTTTTTTTTTACATATTTTGTCATTAATTTAAAAAAAACCTTGATGTTCCTGTGTTTACCAGAAGGAGAACTGCAGTTGTCTTATTCATTCTTTGTTCTCTTCTTACACCCACATTATCTGAACAGAAAGTTCCTTGTGTTATGTCTGGAGATCAACATAGAATTTTTTGAAATGTTTCAGAAAGTTAAGGATTCTAAAATGATTGGGTCATTTGAATCTTTCTGCTATCCTTTTACCACATGGTGGAAAGTTTATCTGGGCCAAATGTACATATATGTATGTATAGTTGAAACATTTTGGCCTTTTGAATTTTATTTTTTATTTCAGGAGATATAATAATGTTTGAATTTATGTTCTAGGATACTCAAGCTTTAAGGAGAGGAACATTTAGTATATATTTGAATGCCATGCCTTGTATATAGACACGTATGGCTAATTTATAGTAAGAAGACTGAAAATATATGGATTACTGTTAAGTTTGTAATTAATTTTGTGAAGTCTGAGGTCAGTAGTAGGTAATTTGAATTTATCATTTAGATATTTACAAAATTTGAGGATATATTAGCTATGTAGACTAGATTGTCCCTGAACTCACTAAGTAGATGTACTGACTTCCTCCTG